AGCAGAAAACTTAGTAAGTACAGTTATCATACTATACTTTATAATACATTAATTTTGAATCTGAACAGAGTTGTCTCCATCTGCATTGGTTGACACTGGGTAGTGTGTTAGCATGTGCAGCACATAATATATTGTATGTTCAGAACCAAGGCTGTAGTGAAGCTGTGTAATACAACATTGGACAAATACTGACAGTAATACCCTGTTTATAACACATTTTATGTATATTTATTAGACATCTTTTTCATAACATTTTAAAAATCAGACATCTACCAGTCTTGAAGATAAGTGACCACGAAACAGGCTACTAAAGAGAGGGTACCCTTAAAGAACTCACTTGTTATCTAGTGTATTATTTGTATACAGTTTTAATTTTAAACGAAGTGTCTTTTCTACCAATTACTGGTCTCTTTCCTCAGTACTGAAACAAATTGTGTTAGTCTTCTGCTTTAGTCTCTTTTTTCCCCTCTCCCTTCCTTCCTTTCTCTCTCCTCCTATTCTTCAGTTCCCTGAATGTGTAATTCATCCTTAATGCGTAGGTCTTAAGAAGAACTTGGATCTTGATGTCAACAAAATTTGGTTTGAAATCCTAGCTCCAAATTATTAATGTGCCATTGAGTAAAAAAATTTTTTTTTAGTTTTTTGTACCTTGGTTTTTTTATTCCTAAGAATTTAACAATTCAGTATTTTTATGAATCTCCTAGATTCTTTATAATGATTGATATCTGAAAGGCTGTGACTTAATTTCAAACTTTAATAAACCTGTTTAGTACAGAAAGTCACACACAGAGAGATCCTTTAAATGGTATTGTTAAAAAATACTGATTCTGCAATTGCATGACCTATTTGGGAATGATGTCTATTCTAAGTAAAAACTGTTTTCCCCTTGAGTTTGATTTTGATAGGAGCATGTTTCATGTCAACAATCAGCTAATGTGCTATGTTAACTTGGTAGAATAAAAAGATTCATATATAATGAATATTTCCTTTCAGAGATGTTTATGTATACTCTCCCCTGCTTTTGCATTTATGCTGTTTTTGTGTTTTAAGTAGAAGTTTTTCCTGACAGTATGTGTTAATAACTGAAAAAATTCCCTATCAGTAGACTAGCACCATCATGACAACCCTGTGTTCTGCTTCTACCTTGCTAATTGTTTCCTTGGGATTATTTGGATTGTGTAGAAAGCCTTTTGCAAATCCTCTTATTACTGAAGTCATTGTTGCCAGCAGGAATAAGATTAAAGGTGCTTAAGTCTGTAGAGTTGTTTCTAATTTGTTCATGTCATTTCAGTGGCATTTTAACAGAACTCTGTCTCCTGTCCCACCCTTCTCCCCTGGTACTATCTCAAGTTAGGTCCAAGATGCCAGACCATTGGAAGAAATCTCATTTTATCCTCCTAATTATTATGCTGGCACTCTGGAGATAATTTTTCCCTTCATGCACTGCCAATTAATATGCAAATAAGCTGATAAATATTTATGTATTCATTTAAATTATGCAGGGAGTGCTTTCACTGTATTCTGTAAATGAATTGTTCCTGGACTTCAAAGTGCTAGCTGCTGTGCTAACGAGGAGAGATTTGCATAAGGCCCTAATCACACGCATACTGATTAAGCTTCATTATGGAAACTGCCAGCTGCAATCTTTGTTTCTATTTTATTACAAAAAGGGGAACTTTTCATGCTTCAGTTGCCTTGACAATGTCAGCCCTAGCTGGTAGAAGAGACTAAAACTCCTCTGAGCAACTGAAGTTTCCTTATTCAGTTGAAGATTGCTATGGTGTAACTGAAGTTGTATTTTGCTTCTCTTGTTAATTCACTTTCCACTCCTCCCACCCTTGTTCTCATAAAGAACATAGTACAGATTTGTTAGAAATAGTAGTACCTTCTTCCCACCCAAACGATACCTGTTCTTTCTTGCTTTGGACTGTCTGCACCTCCTGAAGATTTCACAGCAATGCTGGACTGCAGTGACTGTGTTCTAGGTGGGTACCAGCACAGTTCTTTTCTTACAGCTTTAATATGGAAATAGCATGTGTGGGATTGATTATGCATAAATGCTCAATCACATATTCAACCATCATCCGGGAGGGGAGAGCTTGAGCAGAGAAGGTGGAAAGTATTTGCAAGGCAAGAGCATGCTTGAGTTTGCTGTAGGTCCCTCCCTTGGACTAGGTCTTCTGCTTCAGTAGGTATTTTCAGCAAATAATGTATTTGAATTTGACTTGCATAGAGGACATTTTTGCTTTTTGGAAATTTTTATAGAAAGTAGTATATGTAGTTGAAAACACATTTTAAATCAGAAACAAAATATATACTATATCCAAATAATATATACATACTAATAAAATGTTTTGCATATCTAATCAGACTGCCTCATACAAAACCAAAAATACTAAATGAAAAATTAAAGTAGTGTCATAATGCAGAAGGAAATTATAGTGGTTACTGCACTGTTGATCGGTTTCCAGATTTTAGAAGCTCTAGGCCATTTTCAAATTTTGCCTTTGATTAATCATTTTGATTTCTTCAAACCAGCTGACTTTTAGGAATCTGCCATTTTAAATATTGTGGAAAGCCTGTTATAGTGTGTTCTCTACAGAACAGGAAGTCTTGGAAAGGGAGATGTTCTGCTTGAATAAATGTAACATTTTTGTAGACAAGGTGGATTGAAGTACTTTGTACATGATGCCTCTCGGTGGCTGTATTTTGTGAGGAGTTTTTTAATGTTTACATGAAGAATGATTGCACCTATTTAGGAAAGTCATCTGACATAAACTCCAAGAATTGTATCTCTTAAGCTTAAACATTTGCAAATGATTTTATTTACTGTGTCATTTTCCATTCTTGTAATTAAAACAGTTGTTAATGATAAAATAAATTGATATTTTTCAGAAATGTCTGAATTCTTATACAGAAAGAATGACTAAACTCAAGTTAATAGTACTACTTGTCCATCAGAGATAGTAGTGAAAATGCACATGACATACAACACAAGACGTTCATATTACTTAGGAAGTTAATCCAGTACTAATTTTTAGGCATAAAGTTAGACTCATTATATGATCAGCTAAGTAACATAGGCTTGGGCTTTTTCTGTTTAAAAAAAAAACCTGTAAATATCAATGAGTAATTTACTTGTATGTTCTCTTTTACATTTACCAAATTTGAAATTCAAGAAGTGAAAGAAAAACTTTTTTTGAACTATTTTTACCATTTATTTTTAAATGCCAGAAACTGTATCTGCTACTTAGAGTTGACACTTAGTATCACTGAAACAGCCTTCTCATCATTGTATGGCTAATTAGGATTTTATTTATTGTTTTGTGTTTGAAGTAATTTTGTTAAGTGCTATTGAAGGTCTTGACAGTAAATAAAAGGTCCTAAGAAAAGTTGTAACATACCTGTGACATAAATTTCAAATTTTTATATATAGGTGTGGAAATTAGGCTATGAAATATGTAAGGCCAGGCTCATGATTTTGTTAAGAATTAGGCTTCTTGGTTACTGTGGTATCTGGGCATGAGAAAATTGTTACATCTTTTTATGCATATTTACAGGTTCGTTTTTTTCTGCTTTGTTTTAAAATATAAAGGAAACATTGAACATGTATATAATGGTATATTTGAGGTTCGTGATATTTGTTGACTTTTGTAAGATTTTGGTTAAGTCAAACAGAAAGCTAATTTTTACTAAGTTGTACACCTGGTCCTTTCAAATAAGTGTGCTTTCGGGTGGTATTTAAATTTTTCTGGGCAGTAGGGGAGGAAGTTGTAGAACGGCCTCATTTATGACCACAAACATACAAATTTTAACCCTTTGAACAAGCCAAGCCAGGGATACCATAGAACTGCCTCAACCATAAGCCATGTATTGGTTATAAAAAATTACTGTATTAGAAAAGTTATTACCCAGTGTCTAAAAAACTTACCACCCATTTTCTAGGTTATGAAACATGAAAGAAAGGTTCCTGATATTTTTCCTCATTTCTTATACGTGTAGATAATGCAGCTGTTGACAGCATGGTTGGGATTTAGAATGATTGTTTTAACTTCCTAATTAAACATGTCCTACAGATGTTTTTAAAAAGTCAGTATAATACAGTTTGATTTGTTCTCTAATAATAACTTGGTTACTGGGTCTTAATGAGGGAGAAAAGGTGTAGAACTTACTTGATAATAAGCTTATTTCATGACAAATACTCTAAATCTGTGGTAAATATAGAACAAAAAGACTATTTTGTCTGTTCTGTTTATCCTTTGGGAAAAGAAGCAGGGCGTAGGTGTTCTTGTCTCCTTTCCTGTATATTTTCCAGGATTGCTAATAGTGGTTGACAACGTTTCAGTATGGAAACTAGAATTTAATACACTCAAAAGTAACAGCTGTAAACCAGCAGATTAGTGTGTAACTGGATGTGATTCTTTTAGAACTATAGAGATTCCTGTTACAATTTGTTCGCTTGTTTTTAATGAGACATGTGTTTGGTATACCCCTGTGTTGACTCTAGTTTGGTAAAGGAAGTCAGATGGATGTTTCAAACAGATCTTTTCATCTGTTAGATTATTATTAAGTGTGAATTTGTTTTAGTTATAATGAATTAATACCTTTGCTTTTAGAAGAAAATAATCTGGGAATAATAGTTCTTATTTTTTGAGGTGTTTCCTGCTTCCTAGTTTATTCTAACATACATTATTGTCTGGTAAAAATATTTTAGCATGTCAGTAATATCTTTTTCAACTTAGATTCCTTTCTTTAAAGAATCTTAAAATTTGTTAGATAATTTATTTATGAGTTTCTTTATGATTCAGGAGCTCCTGAATATCTTTGAGGTAGTCTTTTACTCACTTTGTAGTGTTATAGCCTGCCATATTCTATGCATGGGCTTCTTGAAATGAAGCTGTCATATTAGTTAACCCTTGCATTGGCTGTAACTTTGGCTCCTTAGCTTCATCTTCACCGCTAGTTTTTTAAACAACATTTCTGCCTTTGGTTTATTGTAGATTCAAGAATGAACAATCCTTCAGAAACCAATAAATCATCTATGGAGAGTGGAGATGGCAGCACTGGTAAGAAAACATTCCCTTTTATCTATCTTTTACATTAACTCTTATAGAGCTAAAACAAGAGATTGTACACTTATCTGGACACATATTTGACAAATTTGTGTACTTGCTTATGAAGTGTAACTTAGTACTTTTAGGGACTGAAATTATTTTTAACATTACCTAACTCCTCTGAGGAGGGCTTCACTTATCTGATTCCATCCATCAGAAACTGCTTAATTATGGGAATGGTCCTTTGGGACAGATAGACCTAGGTCTGGATTATGGATTTGCCACTAACTGTGTAACTTTAGGCAACTTCCTCAATCTTTTTGAGACTTAATTTATTCGGTAGGGATATTCATGGGTCATCATGAGTATTGAGTTAGAATATATGTGAAGTGTTAAAGCATCATATTCTGTTATGTTTCTTGGTTTTAGGTATAATCAGAATAGGAGATGCTATCTATCCTGCCTTTGGTATATATTATGCAAAAGTTATAATGGTGTCAGTGAGGAGTTACAGACACTCCTAATTCGTCCTTTTATTTCAATAAAATTTATTCTTGATCAAACCTCTTATCAAGAGAAAACTGAGTATCATATAAATGAAAAAAACTGAAAGCTCTTTGAGAGAGGTAAATCTATTTTTAAAAATAGGTACAATTTGTCTCAGCCCATCCTTGTAAGTCTGTCGGTTCATAGAACATTTGACAGTATAACTCTGTCATCTGACAGATATCTTACAAGGATTTCCCCAATTTCTAGTAGAGGCAAAATGTAAAAGTATTAAAACATTAAGGGAATTGTGTGGAAGGAATTGTATAAAGTCATTGTAAAGTAAACTAGGTTTTTCACTTAAGAGAAAGGATTTCTTCTGACTGTTATTTCAAAATATGCCTAACTGTGGGAGGTGGTGAGAGTGACTGTCACTCTTCAAATTCCACTGCTCCTGATCATAGGTAGAACCTTTTGGTTTTTCGAGGCAGGGTTTCTCTGTGTAGCTTTGGAACCTGTTGTGGAACTTGCTCTGTAGACCAGGCTGACCTCAAACTCCCAGAGGTCCACCTGTTTCTGCCCCCTGACTGCTAAGATTTTTTTTTTGTGGTGGGGGGAGGGTTCGAGACAGGGTTTCTCTGTGGCTTTGGAGCCTGTCCTGGAACTAGCTCTGTAGACCAGGCTGGTCTCGAACTCACAGAGATCTGCCTGCCTCTGCCTCCCAAGTGCTGGGATTAAAGGCGTGCGCCACCACTGCCTGGCTTAGAACCTTTTTATTTACAGTAGAAGACTGGGTTGACCCAAAAAATACTTTTGTGTCTGCACCTGTATGATTGCAAACTGTCCTGTACTTGGAGTGGCTTGTTAACCTCTTCACCTCTGAAAAATAAGTACTTATTTATGGGAGACTCAGCTGGGGCTTTCATGTTCATCTTTGTCATATTTAATATGCTCCAGCTTCTCTTACTGAGGCTAGCCAAGACTACCCGAGAGACGGAAGAACTGCGTTGCTTTCTTCCCAAGTTACCATTATTTCTGTTCCTTGTTTGGGCCCCTTCTTCCTTTATCTTGTAGCACTGACTTATGCTGACATAAGTACCATTGCCAAAGGAGTGGAACTTGTTTGCAGAGAGTAAGTAGGTAGTTAAACCTATGAAAAAGCAAGAGAAATATGGGTAAAAGTCCCACATCTAAAGAATAGCTTCCAAATTTCTCTAAAGGAAGAGAAATGAACTCAGAATGATTACAGAATGCCGAAAATATCCACAATGTCAGACCCCCTGGGAAATTCTATGTTTACTTTTAATACCATAGTTTCTGTAATATAATTTATTGAGTGCTTATAGTATTTAATTACAACCTTTGTTGTGCTTCTTAAAATCTTTAGTGCTGTGCATATTACCTGATAACAAATTCTTAATGACCAGTTAGATATTATTTTAAGGAATAGGGAATGGAAGTATAAAACCAGAAAGGAAATAAAGTCAGGCTTAGAAATTGGACCCTATAAAAGGTTTTTCTCATCATCTATAAATGTAAAATTGAAAATTTAAGTAATAGCATTGTGTGTGTTCAAACTTCTAGAACTATATAAGATAAATTCTGGCTGGAACACTTGTTGAACAATTTGTGACTTTCTTGCCTTGTGACAATATGAAATATATAGCAGCAGACTTCTTTTCATAGTGCTGAGAGTAATCACATAGTTAATTTTTCCTGTTGTGGTGGTTTGGTTTTTTTGTTTTTGTTTTTGTTTTTTTGTCTTTGTAGCCCTGGCTGGCCTCTGCCTCAAGAGTGCTGGGATCAAAGGAGTGTGTCACAGTCCAAGAAAGATACTTTTTAAGGCCAGTAATATACTCTCCTAGACCTCCTTGCTTTTCCATAACTTGTAGTGGTGGTTAATATTCTCTTTTCTTTAAAAAGAAAGGAAATTGCTTTTCTGTAAGATCTCTGTTAATACAGTAACATCTAGCTATATCAAATACGAGCTTGTTCCCAGCCTGGGAAGTATAGCAGCTCAGTTGCTGTTTATCTACCGTGTGTGCACTACCTTGATGGACACAAATCGCTTCCATTGTTTAGACCTTTTCGTTCACTTCAGAATAACATCCTTCATTAGTTTCTCGACATTAAGTAAAGTCTGCTGCTATGTCCTTAGCACTCCCTCTTTTTGTTAATTTATTGCTTTAGAAATATAAACATATATTTGAGTTCTGCTTTATTTATTAGATTATCATGTTTGGTGCATTAGAAATAAAATTAGGTTTTTTTAAAGTAGAGTATGATGGGCCATGCCTATAAACCCAGCAGTTGGAAAACTGAGGCAAAAGCATTGCCTGAGTTTGAGGCCAGTCTAGGCTATTTAACAAGACCTTGCCTTGAAAAAAGAAAAAGGGAATGGTGGGTGTAGCATTTGTGCCAAACTGATAAGGAAAGAAAATAATAGCTTATTTAGATTATTTTAAGCCTATATATTAATTTTTAAAGACAACAACCTTAAATATTATATAAAATTGAAGTCTAACACTTTATAAATTCAGAAAACTTGTGTTGATCACTATTTCCTGAAATGTTCACAGCTATAATAATTTTGAATTATAAGGGCTTAAGGGTAATGAGAGGTGTAAAGTTCAGACACGTCTGACAGTGCATTTTATACAGATAAGTTTTATATGTTCACAAAAAGTCTGTGGTTTGAATTTGTTCAGGTTTGCATGTTTTGTATGTTAAATATTATAGTTGGTGTTTTTAGAGACTCATATTATTATGAGACTCTCAGTCTTCAGAGGCTTAGCAATCCACCAAGTGTCAAAGCAGACAGAAAGCTGATTCTGGGCAGATTATGGTGAGTCATCCAAGAGCAGGTATAGAGAAACAACATGATGTTGTTAAGTGGTATTTCTTTCTTGCCTGTTTTTTGTTTGTTTGTTTGTTTGTTAATTATTTTTTTAAGCCAAGTGCTATAGTGTATGCCTTTAGTCCCAGCCCTTAGGAGGCAGAGGCAGGCAGATTTACATAGTGAGTTCCAGAACAGCCAGGGCTACATAGAGAGACTCTGTCTCAAAAATAAATGAATGAGTAGATAAACAAAACAATTTTTAATTTTATAAAATTGTAAAACATAAGTTGCAAAGAAATAGACACCACACACTGAAGTTAACCTGACTCAAAAGATTATACAACTCAATGAACTTCTATACAATATATTATCCATTCATAATAGAAGCTATGAAATTCAACATGGATTTTATACTTCAGTATCAAATATTTTTTTGTGCATTATCCACTACCAAACACAAAAGAAATTCATGTCAGTTGGAACTACAAAAGCAATTAGTTTTGTATCCCTTTTCATAATTTGTATCCATTATCTTCATTCAGTCCTCCTGTACCTTGATTCTTTTCCTTTCTATGTGGTACTGTACCTATATGTACTTTCATTTGCATGTAACTGGCTAGATTCCACATATAAGGGAGATGATGGTCTTTTTCTTTCTGAGATTGTGTGACCTTCTTTAATATTAGACAAAGTCCTATGAATTTTCCTGCTATAATTTTGTGATTATATTTTCTTCAGATTTCTTTTTGAGATTGTGTGAACTCACTTCATAATACATTCAAAGTTCACCCATTTTCCTGAAAATTTTTGATTACCTTTTTCTTTAGAACAGAATATTATTTCATTTTCTATAACAGGTTTTCATTAGCCATTCATCTGTTGATAGACAAGTAGGCTAATTTCAATTCCTTGCTCTAGTGAATAAATCAGCAAACGTGTGGAGTTCTGGGTATGTGCCCAGGAGTGAAATAGCAGGATAATTTTTTCTTTTATTTGAGAAATTTCAAAGCCGATTTCCACAATGGCTGTACTAATTTGCATCTCCTCTACCAATAACCCTTTCTCACCACATCCTCTCCAACATTTGTCAAATTTATTAATGATAGCCTCACTGTTATGAGGTGGTATCTCAAAGTAGTTTCAATTTTCATTTCCCTGATGGCTTGAGATATTAAACAGTTAAAAATAGTTATTGACCATTTGTGTTTCTTTCTTTAAGAAGGGTCTATTGAGTTCATTTGCTCATTTGTTGATTGGCTTTTGTAGTTCCTTGGTATTTCACTTCTGTGCTTTGTAAATTCTGGAGATTAGCCCTTTGTCTGGAGTGTAATTGGTAATGATTTTCAGCCAATCTATAGTCTGTGTTTGTTCTGTTGGTTAAGTATTTCTTTGACAATTTTTAAATATACTTATAGGCCAGGTAAAAAAGAACCACCATTGAGAAAGTATACAAATTAAAACAAGTGGTTTGGAGACCAGAGTTCGGATCCCAAGAAACCCACATAATGTTGTTTGGGTAGAGTGGTCTGCATATAATTCCAACCTTGGAAGGTAGAAGTGGGGGTTCTTCAAAACAAGCTGGCTAGTAAAACAAGCCATATCTTTTAGCACTGTGCTTGATTCAAAGACTTTTACTCAGTGAATGTGGTGGAAGAGTGATCAAATGTGATTCTCAGCATCAACATCA